CGAGGTTCGAGCCCTACCACCACCATCTAACGTTGGTTGTAAGCACTTTGCTATTGTCCGGTTCAATTCCCCGCGTGATCCAGCAGGGCCTTATGTGGTTCGCTACTCCATGTCCCAGGGCTTCGGTTACCAGTTTCCACCACTGAACAGCAGGTTTTCATGAACGCGAGATCCACCTCGTCTGCTGCTCACCATACAAGTTTTTGTAATAAAAAAACCTGTATAAAATAATTGGAATGACTCTATCCATCGTTGCGTATAGAATCTTCAGAAGTCAAACACCGTGTTTAGTCTACAGCTGGGGCTGTTACTAACTGGGACCAACCAAAATCATTTCCTGTTCATCACCACGTAAATTTTTGAAAGGCACCATTGTTCTTATGCATTTATCCAATTTGCATCTTGTTCATTGGTCCATGATATTGTAAACTTTCACAAACGTCTTCTTGTCATCGCTTATCGCTCATTTTTATATTTTTTTAGCTTAAACTAAACACTGTTCGACGAATTTTGCTCATCAGTCGTGAAGTAGACCTTTCAAGTAGCACCACTTCTTCTGACGGTAAAACCATCTATCCGGACGATGTGATCTACATTCGTCATTATCACATTCGTACAGAAAACCGCACGATTAGCCGCGCACTACGGCGTCTCAGTCTGGGTGGCGCTCGGGCGAAGAAACGTCGAGTGACGGATGCAGATGTGCCCAAAGCATTGCTTGCCCCCGGTTTGGGTCCGGGTGGTTCAGGAAAATCCTCTGGAGTGCCAAATTTGGCAAAATACGTGTGTGTGGAAGATTTTCTTACCAAGTGAGCTGCTTCACCTTGTTTATCGTTGTTTTTTTATATAGTTTGGAGGTCCAATAAACTGGCCCCTATGTCATCCACACTTGATTTCCACTATGACTAGTATCTGTGGGTGTCTCCAGCCAGTGGCAATTTTCATTCCTTAGCTCCTATTCAGTTGGGCCCGAATCAATGGATAAAGCTGGCTTATGGATAATCGCACGCCTTTGCTAGCTTCTTCCAGCCATGCTCAGTACTTGCAAAGGGAGCTTTAAGACGTGGAAAACGGGCAGACACGCAATCGTACACCTTATGTATTTGTCTAAGTTTGATAATCGCATTGCGTTTTATGCATTATGGTGGTATAGAGGGTCCTTTGCGTCACATGTGTTGCGGTCTAACTATCCACCCGTATTCACGCATCTCTTGTTGTTTGTAGGTCGCTTGCCCTTCCATCTTGCGATGTTCCGTCGTGGCAGGTAGCGAGTGGAAGAAGGCTTAAGATAGTCCAAGTTAACCAGGGTTGTTGGCTGTATTGGGTCTATTAAACATGCGGTTTGGAGGCCACGTGGCCAAGCTAATCAGTGGGTAATTGTCCAAAGTGGTGCAGCTGCATAGGCCTAACCTTGTTGCTTTCTGTCGCTTTATTTCGAGGGTGCATTTAGCTTAAAGCTCTTCTATATACTCTCCTTTCATAAGTTGACCACATGGATGACCGTAGCACCTCAATACAAGATTAATGGTCATGCAAAAGAGAAATGTTCCACGGGTAACTATACAAAGTAGACCGTTTTGGAACTTCCCTATTTAGAGCTAAATTTTTAACTAAAAAAGTATATCCCGGTGCATCAAAGCATTTTTTCTGCTTTTTCGTACTATTACTCTCCCGCTTTTGCACCTGTCCCGTGACCGGCTGATTGCAAAACCGTGTGAGTTACCTGAGGTCTGTGGTTTTCTGAACAGGTATTCGAACTACTGACAACATTCAGTTGGTATCTGTTCATCCTCCCTTCCAACCTGAACCATGGGGTATCTTCAACTTCAACTTCCACCCAAGGCCGAACCGCCATCTTTGTGAAGGCGATGGCCAGAACCCAGAGGCCTTATTCTTTTTGAAGTCACTTAAAATCCCGGGTAACCTCGATTTCAGATGCCGGACTGATATAACCAGCAGTGT